ATTCAGCTAAAAAAGTGGGTGAGCTGTGGAATTGTTTGTTTCAAGGAAGCGTATGCGTTTTGATACTGAAAGGATTGGTAACCACTGTTCTCAGTACATGGGTTCGAATCACACCATGATGGATGGTGAAATTTGAATTCAATAATAAAAAGAAATCTGGAATTAAAAAGCTAGCCTACTGGCAATCATGTAACCACTGTAAATTGTCATAAAAACCATCTGGTTCACTAATGTACTTTAAGGAAGAAAATCTGCCTTCCTTACCTCGTCTGGCCTATATGTGACTCCAAACTCACAGCAATGTGGAATGACTATTAATTGCCCTCTGGGTGATTAGGAATGCACATTTAATACTAGCCCAGCCAGCGACACCCGCATTCCATAAACAAATAAAAAATTGGCACTTACCTTTTGAACCTCTGTTCAGTGGCCCCCAAACCATAGCTGACTTATTAAAACTCTTGCAACAGGCCCTGCCCTAATGCTAGACAAAATTGAATGTAACCAATATTTTTGAACAGTCAAATGTAGCATCTTTGGCATTGTCTGTATCCCTGAATGTTACAATGTTCAACAAGTACTGCCTCCTACAGCACAAATTGATATAAATAAAAGGAACTCATCACAGGCTAAAATTCAGATAAGAGGAGGTGAAGTAAGTTGTGGCCTTGACTCTTAATGGGGAAAAATCTCCTGAGCTCCAAGTATAGGGGATAAAAGGAGAGGTCAGATGAGACTAATGGAGATTGTGCCATAGAGCAGTAAACAAAATAGCAGCCGTTAAGCAAACAGGACAAAGTACTATCTTATCATAGCACCTGAGGGTGGCACGGTGGCTCAGCGGTTAGCACTGCTGCCTCACAGCACCAGGGACCCACGTTTGAATCCCACCTCGGGTGACTGTCTGTGTGGAGTTTGTACATTCTCCTCGTGACTGCGTGGGTTTCCTCTGGGTGCTCTGGTTTCCTTCCATACTCCAAAGATGTGCAGGCTAGGTGGATTGGCCATGCTTAAATTGCCCATAGTGTTCAGGGATGTGTAGATTAGGGGGATGGGTTTGGGTGGGATGCTTCAAGGGTCGGTGTGGACTTGTTGGGCCAACGGGCCTGATTCCACATTGTAAGGATTCTATGAATTATGATTCTATTCTATTAACTTATTCTATTACATTTAGTTTCCTTTAACTTCATTTCTGTCTGTCATTTCTTAGGTGTTTCTTGGTTCTAGAACAAATTGGTTGGGATGCCTTTTGCGCCAATCTTAGACTTTCATCCCCTATCACTTCCCTTTAATTGTTCTGCTATGTTTCACCTTTACCACAATATAAAATCCACATTTAATAACAGAAAATATTAAGCTGACAATGGAATAGAGACAGCAACTTTAATTCAGGTCAGCTTTACACTCATTTCTAACCATTTGAGGGTAAACCAAACCCATATCAGAAAATGTAGCCGAGTGTTTAATGGCTGGCGTTATTACACTCATTTTCTAAGTAAGGAAAATTTGGAATTGAAAGCCCTGCAATCGAATATCATTTTTGGCAAATTCCCAGCATTAAACTGCAGGAAACTGTTGACAGGATACGCCATCAATGAACCCAAGCAACACTCAAGTAAATGGGGCTTAAGGAAAAGTCCTTCAACAACCCAAAACAAAAGAGAATCAAATTAATTGGTGGAATTCTGTAATCACATCTCCAAGACACCAGTTCAGGATTTTCCAAGAAACTGTCTCACATAATATTACAGTTATTCACTAACAATAGTCATAGAGTCAGTCTTAAACTCTATTCACAGGCCCTCTGAAAATGGAGCAGCCTGTCAGCCTAATTTCCAAGACTATTACTATCATTGAATGCATCATAGTGAAGTTGTCATAACTCCCAATTCCTGACTCCAGATTTGACATAGGGCTGGATGCTAGACTCTGCCTTCTACAAGGCACGCTCAGCAGAGGCATCCTTTGCAGCTGACGAGGGGTTCTGTCAGACAGCCCTCTGCCAGCTGCTATTGATAATGGAAAATGACATTCTCTGAAAATGGTAGCAGAAGCCCAGATTGCAGGCTGAAATGAAGACGCAGAGCAGTAGCCTCAAAGAGAGAGAGCGCTGCATCACACGGAAGAAATGTGAGCCCTCAAATGGCATGCTGCAGTTTGCAGGAGAATAAGAAATGAATAGAGTAAATTGAGGCCTTTGTCAGTGTCTGAAGAATTACCGAGGGAAATTGAGGTAGGCAATTAACTGGAAGACCATCTAGACAACACAGAACACACCTGAGTCTGAGAAGCTCTGAGGTGAGGAAAACAATCTTCGTAATCTGATTTCATTCAAAAAAAGGAGTTGTCTATCTGATAGTTTCCCTGTACTGTTCTGAAGTATTTGGGTACATCTATTATAAAATGTTCACTTATTTAAGGTTTAAAGATGTATTTGAGTTTGATGATGGTAAATAAAAGATCATCAGATTTGAACTTCTGTATTTTATGTGTTTAATCATGCATAGCATGGCATTTAGGTATGCAAATTAGCTTATTTATACAATATTGGAAAATTAGGGATTGTAGGGTATTGGCCAGTGCAAGACCTGAATCATTGGCAAAATGCAGTGGCACTTAACACAACAATATTTTGGTAGATGTCTATTTAATTGGACAGAGATATGAATGCAAAACAGTAGTGCAGATGCTGCAAAACTTAAATATCAGCAGAAAATATTGGAAATATTTGGCAGGTCAGGCAGTTTCTGTAAAGAGAGAAACATTGACCTTTCATGTCAATGACCTTTCATCAGAATTAAATCTTGCAGGGCAACCAGGAAACCTTTACTTTCATTTCTCATCTACAAATTTTCCTCCTCCACAACACTTTGCTCTCATTACAGGTCTGAGTAAATATCATTGTATCAAAAACCACTTTCTCCCATCAAGCATGGGGTAATCTAAATATTTAGACCAAGGACAATCATCCTATACAGATTTAGATATCCTGTACTACCAGAAGTGCTAAACTACAAAGATGGAGGCATGAACTATCAGGTGACAGGCTTGGAAGTGAGGGAACCAGGTGAGCATACAACCAATTCAAAGTGTAAGACATCAATTGGAGGAATTTTGCAGCCATTCCACAATTTTGGTGGACAGGGAGCAGCCCCCTGACCTGCACATCAGCACTATGGAAGCAACATTTCTTTGACACGTCAGGGTGCCGTTAGAGCCAAGGTTCCATACTGCAAAGAGTAATGACAAAAAAAATACAATTGAGCCAAGACCAACCCAGTGAGGGGGGTACACCTCCCATCTAATTCATCATGCCAGATGTTGTTTGCTTTATCATTGCTGCGTAGACTGACAAGGGTGAACCCAGGTTGAGGTGCCCCCTAGATTAGCAACCTGCCTAAGCAGGCCCACCTCTCCTGCTGTAGTTACCAAGACTATGCATCTGCTAGCCATCTGATTGGACTTGCAAAATTGAAAGTCTACTAAGGCAAGAACAGAGACAGCCAATTAGGGGGCTGCCTTCAGAAAGATTGCACTGCCAGTCTTATTGTTAGCAAGTGTGGGTTCAGATTCCTATGTAGTCCTATCATTGGGGGTCAGATGCCTGCAGCAAAATCCAGCCTAAAGCTCTTGACAGTCAGTTCAGAGCATAGAGTATACTGGCAAGGATGCAGTGTCAAACTTGTAAAAGTCACTAGTTGAGCTTTAGCTAGAGTTCTGGGCAATGTACTTTAGGGAATTGATGTGGGCATTAGAAAGCATGCAGTAAAGTTCACAAGAAAAGTTGCATGGATAAGGAACTTTAGTTAGAAGGACAGATTGGGGAAGTTAGGAACGCTTTCCTTGAAAAAGGCTGGGAGAATATGTATTAGAGCTTTCCAAAATCCTCAGGGCCCGAACAAAGTGGATCAGGAGAAACTGTTCATACTCGTGAAAGCTTCAGGCATGAGACTCCACATATTTAAAGAAATTACTAAAATAAGTAACCAGGTAGGTAACATAACAACAGTGGAGGATTGTCATGATGGGTGGTATTAGGGCTTGTCATTGTTGGCAACCAGCATAAAATGATCTGAAGAAGAATCATGCCAGACACAAAATGTTAACTCTGTTTCTCTCTCCACAGAAATTGCCAGAGCTGCTGAGTTTGTCCAGTAGTCTATCTTTATACCAGCATAAACTGATTGCTGCTTATCAAAACTGTCTGAAAGCACAATGTGTAGATGAAGAAGTGGTACTATAGAACATTAATTCTACATACTCTCTTGTTTGGAACAGCAGCTTTGCACAGATTTATAATGACCGGCTCAGAGAGAAAGAGAGAGAGAGAGAAAAAAACAGCAAGGGGAGAGGTAGCATTCTCGCTTTGTGGATATATCATAGGAGGATGTGGGTGAGGTGCTGCAGTGATTGAATGCACACAGCACCCAACTCTCTCATCTGCATTGACGAAACGGTCCTAGTGCCGAATCATGACTGCTGCATGTAGGCGAGTTTGGGTTCCCAGTGGTTTCTGTGGCCAGTGCAGATTCATGGGGGCGACAGCAAGGTCGAGTTTGGGCCGGTGTGGTATGTGGCGGCATTGGACAAGCAAGGGTTGATAGTGGCAAGGGCTTTGGTGGAAGCGAGATGGCGCCTAAGAGTGGCAACTTCATTCCAGTGGCTGCAGCGTGGCAAAGAGAACTTGTGCCTGGCCACCAGGCCCATGGCAGAGGGACTAATAAAATTGAACACATTTTCTTTATTTCTTCACTTTTCTGCCTTTATATTCCGTGTTTTAGTTTATTTTTCCGTGATTTAGGCTGATGCCTGAGACTGGCGACACTGTACAACACAATACATGTGACAATAAATAGATTAAATTCAAATTCTCCAGGGCAGAGGCTGTACCGCAAGATACCGATAGGGGCCGCCCAACCGGCACGGAATGAAGGGGCGGAGCTAGAGCGGCGCCGGTGCTGATTTGACGTCACCCGCTGTGACGTCGCGCGCCAACTCTGTTGGCGTCACCGGAAGTTTGGTTCCCTGTGCCGCAGCCAGGGGGAAGATCTCGCCCTAGCAACCGGGCCTCGCCTCCTAGGAGAGACGCTGAGCCCCAGCCGCTGGCTGAGGATGTGGATGCTCCCCTGCTGCTCGCTGTGACTCTCCTCCGAGTCACTTGCAGCTCGTTTCATTTTAACTGAGGAGGAGATGTTACCCATTCTCAGGATTGCAGTAGAATTACCGATCTTGGATTGAAGTCGCTCACTGGAGCCGCCGCCGCAGAAAGTGTATGCAGGCAAGGACCAGTATCCCACAATCCCTTAACGGAATCACAAAGTAGTAAGTTTAAGGGTGGATGGGAGCGCGGGGGCTGCTGCAATGAGTCATTCATGAACAATACAATCATCGCGGGCAGCAGCTTTTAACACTTTCTTTACTATCACTGCTGTGAAACTATTAACATTGAAGCATTAACCATTGCTATCACAATCAGTTACATCACCACCATCTTCAGTGTCATTATAACAAAAACCTGTTTTCATACAGCACCTTTAAAGTGGTAAAACATCCCAAGGTATTTCATAGCAATGTTATCAAACAAATTTTACTATCAACCCACAACAGGAAATAATACGACGTGACCAATAGAGGTAGGTTTGGAGGACTGTTTTACTTTTAAGTTTCAGTTTTGTGACCATATTCCTCGGGAATCCAAAGCTCTTAATTTCCAAATAAGCTGATGGGTGGTCATGGGACTAAAATTGTGGGATCATTGATTGGCACTGTTAATGGTTGAAAGTGCAACAGTGTATGATTGTCTTCGAAATTCCAAAATTTATCATTGATTGCTAAAACAGTCCTGGCAGGAGGAGAGGTTTAAAGTTGGTACTTCAGAGCTTAAAGCCTAGGCAGCTGAAGCCGTAGCCATCCATGGTGGAATAATGAACATCAGAGAAGTACAAAAGATGCCAGATTTGGAGGGGCACAAACATCCCAAAAACACTTATAGGGCTTGAGATTACAGACATAGAAGGAATTAAAAATGAAGGTGAGAACTTTGAAATTGAGGCATTGCCAGCCAAGAAAGCAAACACAGGAGTAATTGGATGAACAGCATTTGGCGTATGTTGCATACAGGCAGCAGAATTTTGGAAAAAAACCTCAAGTTTATGGAAGATGCAAGGCCGGAGACTAGGCAGAACATCATAGGAGCAGTCTCGAGTCATCAAAGGCACAAATAAGAGTATCCGCAGTAAATCAGTTAATGGAGGGTGGTAGCAGGTGCTATTACAGAGATCAATCTTGTGATGGAAAGACTATAGGGTTAGTTCAGTGACAAAAAGGATGCTGAGATTGTGAAATGTTAGTTTCAACATCAATGTGGCTAGAGATGGATGGCTTCACTGACCAAGGACTCAAGTTCATGATAAGGCTTAAAGGCAGTGGATTTGAACTTCTCGATGTTCAGCTTGAAGAAATTGCTCCACTGGGTATCAGATGAACAAGGTGACAACTGAATGATAAAGACAGTAATGAGAAGTTAAATGGTGGGTATTGTCAAATTTCTAAAAACATGTGGCTGAAGCTAACTTGTTTTTTTGGCTAAGTCTGCATGGCATCGAGTGTTTTTTTTTGGAGTGTTTGTCACCTTGGGATTGAGCACATTTTCTTTCCATATCTTACCTAACTTGCCATATTAACTGCCTACCACACCGCATGACGTCTATCATATCCAATTTCCGTACCATCTTGCCATGCACTCTTCTCAGAGCAATTCATCACTCACTGGATATCGGCCCAAAGACTGGCATCTTTTGTGCCTGTCCCAATTTTGAAAGGCTTTTACACCTGGAGAAGCATTGATAATCCAGTATTGCTCCTCACCGGTGATGTCATGATGCATCACCTACAAAGCCACACCGTCCATGGCACATGTGGCTGATACTTTCTCACATTAGCAACTCCATTTTGTCGTCCTACTCACTGTTTAACCACCATCCCACATTTTACCTTTCCCTAAGTATGTTCTTTCTAAACACCATCTAAGTCAGCCTTAGCCTGTCCCCTGACCACTGGAGTAAAGTTGCTTTGAGAGGTGACCCAATGACCAATGTCATTATCTAGTAGGGGAGCATCCCATACAGACAAGTGACCAGACGAATAAAAACTCAAATGTGAGCTTTTCAAAAGTTAACAAAAACAAAGCCATCAGAGGCTGAAGGGGTGCTACATTGCTGACCAGATTTAGAAATTGTGACCAAAGGATGGCGCAGTCAATAATTATACGCTACACTCAGCTCTGTTCTATTGGAACCAGATGTCAATGAGGTTCTGTCTGCTTGTTGCTTCTATTGCAGTTGAATTCTGTCGTGGACAAGGTCAGCTTTATCCATCTCAATGCCCTTGTCCTCCTTGGAGCAGTTGCTGTACCCCAGGACATCACCTTGTTGCCTGCTCCAGTTGTTTAGGGCATGATATGCCCTGGCACACACTCTCCAGGCTATTCTCCAGTGCCCCCTCCCCATTGGCAATCCAAGAACGACATCTTCAACAACCCTATGCTCTCTCCACCACTATTCTTGTTAAGACATGGGTAGCAACATATCTGTGTCCCCAAACACCAGATACAGAGAATTCTCCAGAATGTATCAGTCATAGCTTCTCGGATAGCGGGCACAGACCACCAGGAAAAAGTAATTGATCAACTGGAGCCCCTTCCTGCAGGTGAATTGTGCAGCGTTTTGATATAGTTCTCTCAGTGCCACGTGTGCACACTTGATGGCATACTGCAGCTATACACCTGAATTCAACAGCCTGCACTGTAACACAAACCTAGTCTTGGAAGAACGAAATGAACCAGTGTGACCTTGCGTAGCTAGAAATAGTCACTGTGCTAATACATTTGTAGGTGCACAACTTAGAAATCCCAAACAGGTCGTCCGTCGCTCTCTGGAAGGAGCCAATCATGTAGAAGTTCAATACCTCAGTGACCTTCATAGTGACCAGGAGAGGATGGCCTCCCGCTCCTGCAATCCTCATATCTTGCTCCAGCATCCAGCACAATTCCGTTACAGCTTCCTGCAACGTATGAAGCCTGCATCGACACTATGCCTTGCTGATCACTAGGAAATGGAATTTGGGACTGTAAACTCTGGGTCTCCTGCACGTCGTATGTATCTTCAGGGACCTTGCAGCTGCGTCCAGTCCCTCAGCTGATGGTCCTAGACCTGTATAGGGGCTGACCGTTGCTCCCAAAATCTAACTTGTTTGGATTTGGTCCTGCACCTCCATTTTCTTGGGTAGGTAGCTACAGTGACTATCAAGCCACTTGTGGCAATGCCCATCATTCCTGGCAGAAACGACCTAACTTGGGCATAGAAGAAGAAAAGGAGTTTATTAAATGTTCGAGCACTCGTTGGCGAATCTGTAGATGAGGGCTGAGCACACTTTATTAAATTGCTGGATGTAGATAACAGAGGATATGTCTACATTGGGCATCCACATTCTGCCTCAGTTTGTGGAGTAACTCGCTGAAGGTGCCATACCAGCTGAATAGCCACCAAATTTCAGCAAGAATGGGCTATCCAAGATGGAAATCATACAAAACAAGAAATGAATTGATTCCACCAGGTGCAGGCAGCAGTTTCCTTGTCAAGTTTTCCTATTATCTAACTTGTTTGGTAGGAAGGGAATGTGAATTTTAATGACATGAGTCATGGTATTAACGTGATGTTTACCAAGCATTAATTCTGATTGACATATTGCTGTTGCTTGAAGGGAATGTCACCAGGGTGTGAAAAGTCTAAAAGACAGAGTGAGGTTATTTCAACATTGAAGGTTATGATTTTTCTGATGAAAATTTCAGTTTTAGAGACCAAGGGGAATACATGTATGAGCTGTTGACTACAGTGACTTTGGTTTGAAAGCCTGTATTTTTGAGAAGGCAAGAGAAACTTAATGTTTCTGGGAAAGAGGATTGTGACCTGGCATTCCTGGTTGTGATATATGATTCCATGTGTCCTTGGATTCCAAATAAATCTAAAAGAAAAACACAGCACTCCTTTGGAGTTTAGATTCTAGCAGCAGAGCATTACAGACAGGCTCTGGACAGCCCTCTGTGCGGTAGCAGAAAAAGAAAGGAAAACTGAAAACTGCAAGTAACAGTAGGGATCTTAAAATTACTGCCACTTCTTCAGCCATTTTACGAGACCTAGCTAAACAGTGAACCAGCCTGCTAATGAGTAGACAGCAAGGGTGACTGGGAAATGTGTGCCATCAAGACTATCATGAGCCTAGTTAAGAATGTCCTACAGAAATGTGCCCTTTTGCTGATAAACATATCTATGAAACTTGGAGTAAAGTTGCTTTAAGAGGTGACCCAATGACCAAATCCAATATGAAGGAAAGGAATTGAACTCTACTTGAAGAGTGCACAGTTTCGAAGGAACTTTTGGTTAAATGTGGTGCCACATATGTTATGCGAACTGCTAGTAAATCTTTGTATTAGCAATTTAAAGTGTAATTTATGATTCTACTGAATGCAGTTTGCCTGTTATTTCTTGTTCAATTTCATAGAATCAAAGAATCCCTAGAGTGCAGGGTTAGAATTAGATTTTATTGTCGTGTGCTTAAACACGTAAGTACGTGAGTACAGAGAAAAGTGTACAAAGTCGCCTTTCCAACGCCATCATTGGTACAAAGGTACCTAGGAACAAAATCTTAGGTGCAAAGTAGAAAAATAAAGAAATAAAGTTAAAAATTCAACAGTCTTAAGTGCTTAGCCATGCTGAGCTCGCACTTCCTACAAGGGCTTGATCTTCTCCGCTTTGACCTGTTCTCCAGGCGACCTTGGTCGGCTGCTCTCACCGCCGCCACAGATGCAAGGAGACCTCCCTCACCATTGTGTTGGGCTCGCTCTTCTCGCAATGGGCTCAATCTCTGACCATCAAGATCCCAATCCAGGCCCCCAACCATTGCCACCCACCAGACTTCTAACCAACTGTCAAAATCCCAAACCAGGCTCCTAGCTGCTGCCACGCTCCGGAGTGCAATGAGCTACGATACCACCAACTGCCAAAGTCCCCACTACGGGCCTCCTGCTGCTACCATGCTCCGGACCGCAATGAGCTGCGATACCACCGACTGCCAAAGTCCCCACTACGGGCCTACTGCTGCTGCCATGCTCCGGACCCAATGAAGCCGCGATACCCAGCCACTACTGCCTCTACAACGGAGCTCTCTCCAGAAGGTAAGTTCGATATCCCTCACACTTGCCACCGCAGCAGATGCCAGGGGGCCTCTCTTGCCACCACATTGGGCTCACTCTCCTACACACTGAGTTCACTCTCCTCTGCGCTGTACAAGCTAACTCTCCACAGAAAGTATGGAGATTAAAGAAAAGAAAGCCCTGAAAGAAGAAAAAAAATTAAAGCAAACAGAGCAGATCTGCTCTGACTCTTTGAACAGCATCCCACCCAGACCCCTACCTTATCCCCGTAACCCCACATTTACCATGAAACTAGAGAGCACCCGGTGGAAACCCACACAGACATGGGTAGTCTTCCAGTCTGCATTTGACCTCCATAATGTAAAGTTGACAGCATCATGCTGAATGAAAATGTATGCTAATTATATAGGAGTACCAATATGTTGCTGATTAAATTGGAAGGTGTTTTTGTCCTAATCCCATTCTGACTTCTTTATCACTGTCCTCCATCATTGTACCAATGGAGCGCAACTAAAATTTTGAGGAATAATACCTTATTATTTGATTAGATACTTTACAACTTCCAGACTCACCATAGAGTTTAATCAGTCCTTTTTTTTTTCAGATTACAAGTGATGGTGATGATTCTGCTATTTTCTATTCAGATCTTCTGTAGATTCATCTTTTGTTTCTTGTTTCATTACCATTTTGATTTTACCTCGCATCATCATCATCATCTCTTTTTGTCAGTTGATCTTTCCAGTCTTCTGCCTTACCACAGTCTTTCCCTTCTGTCCTTGCTCTGCCTTGGTTCTTGCTTAAAACATTTCTGACGTTTTCTAATGAAATTCATTACCTGAAACATTATTCTGGTTTCTTTCGCCACAGATGCTGCAAGATGTGCTGAATGTTTTCAACATTTTCTTTTGACCATTTATAAACTGATGTTTTTGTGTATGAAAATTTTCAGTGATAAAGGTTTTTGAACAAAACCAGCCCTCTACTAAAGGTATTGATGCAAATCAAGACAGATATAAGGCAAATGAAAGCTTTAGTTCAGAACTGTTACTTTAATCACCTTAACACCAGTTTTATAAGTCAGAGGCAGCACTGTCTGATAAGTAACTTAAAGCATCAGTGACCGAGATCTGAATGAAGCTAGACTTCTCATTCTGACATTCAATGCTATTAGATGAGTGAGAGGAACAGAAGGGAGAAAAATCATTTGGCTCCCTTGTAAATCTCCAGAACTAGTAAAAGTGATACCAGTCAACTAGGGTTCTGTGTAAAGATGAATGTTGATTTCCATCATGTATTTCCGTACTGATTTCATGATTTTGTGTAATCTTTGTGTCATGTACAGGATTGCAGTTTTGGATCTGCTTTGCATGTTAATCTAGTGCCTGTTGTTCTGTTGATTATAGCTGATCTAAAGAAACTTTGTTATGATCCCCATGGGAGAACTGTAAACTAAAATGACTAAATGATTCCCAAATGAAGAAATTACCAACGAGATTTCACATCTTGTAACATTTAGTTTAGGATTCAAACACCATGCAAATTACACATGAAATGAAAGGCAAACGTTAAGTCAAATGAAAAGAAAAATAAACGTTAATTAATTCATGCAATGAAGACGTATTTTCCATCATGACATATACTCCTATCTCTCCTAGCAAACATGCGGCACCATGCGCATTTGCAAGGTTTTCTAAATTGGCTTTGAGTACAGTGGTTCTCCCATATTTCCATTCAACAGATTTAGCCTTTTGAGTCGTGTTCCCCAGCAGCCATTTTCCCAGAGATGGTTGTCACCAGAATGACATACTACTGCAAAACCTCAGTTAAGTTCACTATAGTTTTAAAAGTACAAAAACACCAATTATCATTTATCTGACCTCATTTATAAATTTCATTAAATTGCATGATTTGCTGTGGCAAAACTGAAGCAACAGTAAAAATGTCCAATTTGCAATATTTGCTCTACTCTGTCTTTGGCTTTCTGTCCTGTTTAATGCACACAGCCCTCTGTAAATGGGTTACAGACTCTGTTTTCCCCTGTGCTGCAGCTACCCTTTCTACCTGCCAGGTGCATATCTTCTGCATACATCTTAACCTGCTTCATGGTGAAGGGTCGTCAGGCCACATTCCTTCCACAATTTCATCAATTTAATTTATAAAAGGTCAACAGATCTATTTTACCTCAGAATGATTTGTGATGTTGTATACGCATAATATGGAATAGTAGAGAATACATCTTTTTTTTATCATAAGCCTGATCGGAAAGAGGACATGAGGTGGTAACTAATTTTGTCATAAATATTATCTGTGGCAATGCGACAAACAAAATGTAGTTGTTAATTATTTTTCTTTCACATATATAATTTTATCATAAAAATCATCTCTAAGAACATACACAGGCTCTAAATCATATCTGTACGGTCTTTGCAGAGGAGAAGAAACAAACCAAATATTGGAATTTTGGCATTTCTCAGAGTTTTTCTATAATTGCAAAAAAAAATGGCATTTTCTTATGCAGAAATCTATTTATGTTCATTTTGAGGCACTGAGAAGGTCTGACAACTGAACAATCCTCATTATACTTTGGCAGTAAACTCCCCACTGCCTCAGTGTACTTGTGTATCCCTCATCACATAGTCTTGCATCCTGGAATGTGCCAGTTTGCAATACTCGATCGAGGTCAACTCTTTATATTAGAAGACCAACACGTTTCAGGCAGACCAAAGAGTGTCTTTTATTGAGTTGATGGTCCTCCAGAAACAGTCGATGTTTGTTTCAGAGTGAATCCCAGGAAACAGCCCATGGAGCACAGAGTCCTGTGACACAGCTGCTCAGGACGAACCTCGACAAAAACCATTGCCTCTCTCTCTAGACCTTTTTTGTAGTCATTGACGGTTTAAGAAATCTGACCTTATTTTGTGAATTGGTTGTAGTGCTTGATTAAACAGGTCAATGAGAGCTTAAGCCAAACTTTTTTTTTTATTTAGTTGTATTTACACTGTGCTTTGTAAACAGTTGAGAACTGTAGAATTTTAAAAGTGTAGTTATTCTTCTGGTTTTCACTTATTAAAAGTAAGACTAGTAACATTACAATAATTCAGTGACTTTTGCTCCCAAGTACACTAAAGTGACATATGCAAGACCATCTGTGAGTTTTAAATTAATTTCCTACTGGTACTTTGTATTTCTAGCTTAGTGCAATACGTAGCCTTAAAGATACTAGGCAGCCATTTCCACCATCTGTAGCCCAATCTGCTATTGTCCCTATTAAGGGTCATGGGAATGGAATACTTTCCAGTTTCGATATGCTGCATCTATATCAATCATTACCAGATCGAGTACTGGGCACTTAGAAGCAGAGACCAGGTGTTTCAGTCCTGTGAGTTTCTTCTGGTGAGTCAATACAGATCTGTAAAAAGAAGTTGAATTCAGTCATCCTCCAGTCTCACTTTCTGAGACTGCGGTTGATATTGCTAATAATTGTTTATATTCTGTGTTTTTGAGAAGGAAGGACCCTAATCGGGCAATTATGTTTTGCTGTGTTGGTATGGAATCTTTTTTCAAACTTTGCAAAACAGTTGAGGGTTTTCTGAATAATGTAGCCAGCTAACATCCAAGTCTTATTCAGTTCATTCATGCTATCGAGAAGCTAAAATAAAGATTACTTCATTTAACATAGAATGAACATCTTCTAATTGTGTGGATGCTATACATCTGGTTTTGGACTTGAAATTCTAGTGGTAAATAGCTGTGTCCTTGTGTCTAAATAACACACCATGCAGATCTCCCAATCCTTGTAACGGTATAGAAAAAAAAGCTTTCCCACTGCCCCACCTCCCAACCATAAAATGTTCACAGGGAGAACAGAACTCTGCCTGCATACTCCTTTGATTCTGAATTCAATGTGATCTTAACGTAACAAGGTAGCTTAGATATTCAATCTCATTCTAAATTCCAGATTTCAGAGGAGAAGTTGTAGTGTAACTGCATCCTTAAATTGTCTGTGGTATGCACATCTTTCCAGTATCTTAGGGCTGAGACAGTCACAAATTATTGCTTTATTTCTTGGCTAGAAATAGTTACGTTTTCCTATGTAAATGGAATAGTAACTGTTTCTATTAATATAAAAAGTTAATAAGTTTTTAATTTTTGACATACCCCTTATTCAGTTATGTTTAATTAAAATATCAAAATAAGAACTTTTTTTAATTTGATCAAAACACACTCTAAAGGGAGAGATGTGCTTCAAGGGCAGCACTGTGTCAAGCTTTCTGATGAAGGGTCTAGGCCCGAAACGTCAGCCTCTCTGCTCCTATGATGCTGCTTGGCCTGCTGTGTTCATCCAGCCCTGCACCTTGTTGTCTCGGATTCTCCAGCATCTGCAGTTCCTACTATCTCTAATCCATGATACTAGTCTGCTCATGATATTACCCAATTAAACCAGCTTCTGCTGCAATGTCCGGCTATTCCTCAGTAATCCATTAAACCACCGTTGTTATAACAATACAATAACCTTAATTTAAACCATGTTAATACTTCCTTTTTATGATTGGCCAATGTACTTAATGAAGTGACTTTGCTTAAAAGTTTCTGCTTAACAAAGGTTTTTTTTCTCAAGATCTTATAAAATTCCTTCTCGTTTAATTGCAATTAGATCAGCTGAAACAATGGGGCTGTTTGACAAACTAGCTGGCTGGCTTGGTCTAAAGAAGAAGGAGGTTCACGTGTTGTGTTTGGGACTGGACAATAGTGGGAAAACAACTATAATTAATTGCCTAAAACCTTCAAATGTAAGTTTTATTTTAAATTGTTTGATTGGAATATGCAATATAAAATGAAAGCATGTCAGCACCTGTCTGTAATTAACGTCTTCCTGCAAATCATAGTCACTTGCCTTCAGTTTTCTTTTTTGCATTGTGATAATCTTACAAACCAGTTGTTGGAGGAAATGTGCTTAATTCCCCCAACCCTCTTTAGACTTGAACTTTCTTTAACAACTTCTCTCTTAATTTTTACATTTTACTTTGATTTTTCTTTATACTTATATTTATTCCTTTACCTCAGGCCACCGTCGACTGGCATTAGTCATAGCACTGTTGTCTCAGAGTCAGGAGGTTATGATACAAACCCAGCTCCTGGCTGATGCTTCTGAGAAATAGCTACAATGTTGTCCTTCAGATGAGACATTAAACCAAAGCCTGATTAACCTTGATTATATGTAAAAGATCCCATGGCATTTGAAGGTGATCAGTCAATTCCTCCCCAGTATTCAGCCAATATTTATTCCACAATCAATATCAATAAAACCAACAGTTTCCTCTTTCTAGGAAGAGAACAATGAATTTGTGACTTACATCTGTTCTATATACCAAATAGTTTATTTTAAAATGTTCCCTTTCCCATTTTGAGACTGCTGATTGTTAGTGAAGTGCCAGCAGTTCTTGAGTGACACAATGGTTATTTATGAGAGCTGTCTGCATGCGAATTGACTGGCACATTTCCTACATTGACTAAGGTTCAAAAGTATTTAATTGTTCTAAAGCACTTGGAGGTTGCCCTGGGGTACTGAAATGCACTAAATAAACACAAGGTCTTTCTTTCCTTTCCCATTTGTCTATTATCACTAACCTTCTTTTTCCTTCCTAGTCCTAGCCTTTTATGTCATTGTTCACTATGTATTCTTAAAATTCACTAAAATAATACATTACTGAAAGTTGCAGAATTGTTATTTACATTGTCCATGGTCCTGCTATTTTTGAAATTATTAATTATTTCTCAAATTTAAAATGAAAAACCAGTGCAAGGTGATATCAGCTGTTTGGTAACAAACATTTACTTTTATATTCGTGAACAACCCCATTTCTAACAGTCCAAGTTTTGACATTTCTGCAGTGAAAATTTATTGCTGTCAAAATGAGATATCAGTTCAAAAAATCTTCCTCTTTCTAGGAAGAGAACGAAGAAGTTGAGACTTACATCTGTTCTATATACCAAATAGTTTACTTTAAAATGTTCCCTTTCCCATCATGAGACTGCTGATTGTTAGTGAAGTGCCAGCAGCTCTTGGGTAACAGAATCACTTTACTGCCTCACCAAAGTGATATCTGCATTCATGGCCTTAGGCAGTAATTTTCAATGGACTGTTCCATCATCTGAAGCATCATTGACCAATCTAATTTTGTCATTACCTCGTGGTGAAAATGTGTCTTTTTAATTTTAGTGAAGAAGTGGATACAAGAATGATGAAGTGGTTCGTCCCTTAGAGGCATTTCTTCCCCAGGCCAGAGTCAATGGGGATTTTAGTATTTCATCTGTTAAGACTTGTGATCTAAAATATAATATTTTTAATTAAATTTGAACTGTAGATAAGGGTTACTGGACTCAGTGTTAACTTTGCTTTCTCTCCACAGATGATGCCAGACCTACTAAGTTTCTCCAGCAATTTTTGTTTTGTTTCAGATATCTAGCATCCACAGTTCTTTTGTTTTATTATAGATGTATAAATACTTTGACTACAAGAACGGTTGAGATGCTAGTTAACTGCAGCAATTATTATTCCCCAAAGCCTGTCCACAACCTACAAGGCACAAGTTAGGCAATACTTCACATTTGTCTGGATGAATACAGCTTCACCAACAGCTGATACCATGCAGAACAACGCAGCCAGGTTGATTGGCACGACAAACATTTCCTGCCTCCACCGCTGATGCTTAACGACAGCAGTGTGTATCATTTACGAGATGTGTTGCAGCAATTCACCAAGGCTCCTTAGAAAACATCTTCCAAACACATCACCATACTATCTAGAAAAACAAGGCCAGCAGATACATAGGAACAATGATATCTCCAGGCCCTCTCCAAACCACTCAGCATCTGACTTGGAAATATGTCAATGTTCCATTACTGCTGGTGCATCAAAATGTTGGATTCAACACTGCCCCCTCCCCCCAAGAAAAACAGCATTATGCATGTACCATATCAAGTGAAATGCAGCAATTGAAGAAAACAGCTCACCACCGCTTTCTCAAGGGCAATTAAGGATAGACAATTAATGCTGGTCCAGTCAGCAAAGCCCACATTTACTAAATGAATTTATAAAACTACTATCACAGTTATTATGGTGAATTATTGGACCATAAACAGGAGTGGCAAAATCTTTTGGAAGGATACTTTAGCTGCAGTTTTTGAAATAATTCTGAAAAGGCAATGAGCAATGATTCATGCCTCTAAATGATTAGTAAATAAGAGGGGAAATCAGCTAATTTTCTTTGTGTAAAAAAGGGCTTTTTCTCACACCCATATTACTCTTTTCAATGAGAAAATTGGCAAACATTTAGGTAATCATAACAATTTCATGGGAACGATATTGAGAAGTTGAATGTATCAGTAGAAGCAACTGATCTTTTGAGGAGGACACCAGAGACAATAATTAAGTACGTACTGCAAGAGAAAGCCAGCACTAAAAGACCTTTGGAGAGTTGCAAAACATTACACGCAATTTATTATTGTTTTCAGTCTACAAACATTAGAAATCAACCTTTTAATATAGTTAATAAATTTTAATTAGCATACTGCCCCTGTTTAATTAGCAATATATAACCTTTACAAGTGCTTTTCTCAGGAATGATTATAAATATACCCATGTTTTTTATAAACAAGCCTACTGCAATTTTTAAATGGTTGTTAGTTAAGAACTTTTAAAAAAAAACTCAGACCCTGAAATTGCAACATGACATGATAACAAACAAATTCAGTAATCTAACATTCCCCACTGTGCTATTTTAGTAGTCATGTTAAATCATTTATTTCAAGCATGTTAATGTTTCTGAAGCTGTGCCATAGCATAATTTCAGGGCTCTGGAAGAAATGTTGACCTAATGTTCTATTGTTGTTCATTTGTTGAAGTTAATACAGTGCTCAAGTCTGAAGAGATACTGTAGGCATTGTGTTCACATTTCTCCATTTCAACTATTTGTTAAAGGTTGATGTGACTTAATAATTTATTGGAGCTACATTTTGATTTGCCGATACTCTAATTATGTAGCTTTCCTGTTGTACAAAAAAATTCGGTCTCTATTTAGACAGAGCGTCAGACTAGTCCAAAGTAGTTTAGAAATGCAGCTCCTGTTCTAATAGCAGCAATAACATCTTCTTATAGCATCTTCAACAACATGAAATGCCCTAAGGTGCATCACAAGATTTGAAATAATATTGAAAATATATTGCCTTAAATTGATTAGGGTGCAATACAATTGGAGGAAAACTATCATTAGATGTACTATAGTTCTGTTTGTAATGTTTTTTCAAGGATACAAATTAAAATTACTTGGAATGCAGTACACAAAGTGTGAAACATTTTGCATGAACTGCAGTTTTAACCTATACTATAACATAAAAAACATCTAGCAGAATAATGATTTGTGTTGATCTGTGTCATTGTTTTACAGTCTCAAGTACAGGATATTGTTCCAACCATTGGATTCAGCATCGAGAATTTCAAGACCTCTGGGTACTATTGTTTTTCATTATCTTTTGCACTGTTTGGTTTAGCCTGCGAAATTGGAAGAAATAGATTTTAACTTTGATAAGTAAGTAGTTAGCAAACTTTTGTAGTGTTACAATCTTGGTGGTGTTCAGGTAATTGTGTATCCTTTGGCCCATGATTGCCATGTTTTATTGGCACTGCTTTGTTCAATTGCACTCTTATCTCTACTCTTGTGCCCCAGCCTCCTCTTCCCCACTCCCCCCAACAAACATAGACTCTCCCAATCTTTCTCACTGTTTTTCAATCAGTCTCCCTCTCTCCCTCTCCCTCTCTCTCTGCTTGCCCCCCAGGATTATTCCGGGATGCAAACATAACCTTAGCTTCTGTTCTCTACAGCAGTTGTCATCTTAAACCTCTTCCCTCTCCTGTAACCATAGCTCCATAAATAAATTGAAGGAGCTTATGGACTTCTTTATTGCTAAAATCACAACCATCTGATCAGCTACCTGTACTATGTTCTCTTCCAGTAATCCATCAGCCTAGATTTTCTCGAAAACACCCTTTGCCCTAGCCCTGACCTCCCTTTTTTTTTTTAAGTTTCTCTCAATTTCCCCTAAAGACATCTCTGAATTCAACTTGTCCATAATACTCACCTCCCACTCCCTCAACTGGATTCCCATTAAACTGCTGAACAGCTAAGTTCCCCTCCTGGTCCTCATGTTAACTAAAATTTTTAATGGATAATTCTTTTTATGGTGTTGTGTTTTTTCCCTTTACATTTGCTGCCATTATTGCTGTCCTCAAAAAAAGTCATCCTTTGGCCCCACCATATTGTTACAAAGCGGAGGTTGACTCCCCTCAGATAACTAAAACCAAAACATCCAGAGTGGAGTGCCTTGCCCTATAATCTATTAAATGGAATGTGAGAAGGGCTGTAATCTGATTTTTTTTTCTTCAACTTTTGGTGGTTAAATAAAATGAACCCCTGACACTTACTTTACAGTCAACAAGTAACAATTTATTTATCTAACGCTAATAGTGAACACATTAACTAAATTATTAACAAACCGAATAAACCCCTTCTAACTATTAACAATTCCTAAATAAAACAAGGTTCTGATGGTATGCTGATAACACAGTGTGGATCTGGAGGAGCACAGCAGGCCAGGCAGCATCAGAGGAGCAGGAAAGTTGA